CCCCCCACATTCTTTGGTGAAACTGCACTTTGAGATATTTAAACTTTGAGAAGGAAAAAAAATGCAGAATTCCACAACACCCAAAGGCATCCTTTTCAGTATACATGGCTGCTCACACTTTTTTTTTCAATAGAACAACATAGCCAAGGCAAAAAACATCAATGCTATTCATATCCTTTGCAAACCCTTTCAGAAAAAAAGGGAGAATGGCAAAAACAAAAAATAGGCATAGGACATACAGCAGGTGGACAAGCATGACCATTATCTTTATAGTTTATAAAATTAGCCTGTTTCTTTAAGGACAATTTCTTAACTCTGATTAACCACAGACAGAAGTCTTTTTTCTTCTGCTTAGCGTTTTTACACCTTTTTGACCATACCAGTTAATTTAAAAAGCAACATCATTTACATATCAAATGGTGGTATAGGCAGGGACCATTTAACACCAGAATTATACTGTCATTTTTACAGTTTTCTTTCACTTGGTTCCAATTTTGTACCCAACAGAAAGCATCATTTGGAAAAAGTAACCCTCATCTTCAGAGAAGACTATCATCAGAAACATTAAAAGCAAATTCTTAAAATTGTCTCCATGGTCAAAAAAATAGCAAAAAGGAATAGTCTATGTTCCTGAAATGAGACAGTACAGAGATGGATCTTTAGCTACACTCTCAATCATGTGTGCTCACTCTAAAATCTTCATTTACTGAACATACATTTATACACATATTAACTATACATATTATAGTGTGTGTATGGACATATTCTATGTAACAAAGTATGTAAAAGGTAAAGGTGTCTCATTCACAGGCCCACTGAGACCCAGTGGGGCAGTGGAAGCAGGGCATATATAGTCAGTAAAAATGGAATAATTATCTTTCCTCTCTCACATGTGCAACTTCTTATGCATTTGCATAAACTGAGATTCTCAAAATGGCCTAAGAAAGTTTATTTGGCCCCTTTATGTAGCCCTGGGAGTTTTTTACTTTTCTATTTTCTATCAGAATGATATATACTGCTTCTTATACACATAGTAATATATTTATATATGTATTCTATATATTGCATACAAATCTAGGGTATATTATATATTAGAATGACATATTAAATGATATTGTATATTGAGAGAGAGAGAGAGAGAGAGAGAGAGAGAGAAAGAAAGAAAGAGCGAGAGACTGCTCAATACTATCTACTTTTTGCCAATATAGTCCATCTTAATTCATTACTGTAGCCAACTGAGATAGTGCTGTCATACCAAAAAACAGGACAAAAAACACAAGAGCTTTCAGACTCTTAATGAACAAAAACATATTTTATTAGACATACTTTTGAATCTTTACACTTTGTCGCTTCTTGTGCCAAAGAAAAATTAAACCACAACTGAGATGTTACTGAAGTCTGCTCAGATTCATTTCAGGAGCACATTTTCAGCAAATGAATATCTTGTTCCACACGTGCATTGTTTGGATAGGAAAAGGGCACACATCTGTGAAAGTGACACATTCTCCTTCTACGCTGCTACACATAGCAGTATAAGAACTAAAAAAAATGAAGGTAATTAATGTATTCATTAACACCTTTTACCCCTTTAATGCTTCCTGAGAGGTGATAGCTTTGTATTTTTGGTTCAGACATGTTCACGTGTCTACAACCCCACTAACTTCCATGGGAATGTTCATCTGTGTAAAGCTAACTGGAAATGCTTATGTCAGCAAAACTAAAATATTCCTGTTGTCCTTTCCCCACCCCACAAAACAGAAAGCAGCCAAGGGTTGATTTGTTAATTCTCTTCATTCAGTTCAAAGATGGACTGTGTAGCACATTCTTTTACATCTGACTTGTGTTAGTCTTTATAACAAAAAATACTTTAAAATAATAACTAAAAAAATTGTGTGTAATGACAACAGATACAGCTTCAAAAAACAAAAACTGCACGCAGCACGTAAACAAAAACCTGTTTTACAAGTGAATTACCATTCTAAGTGAGCTCCAAAGCGCTTATTTTCACCATAAATACCCACGTAACTTGTACCTCAGCAAACTAAAATATTTGGTGCCTCTCAGGGTCACTTAAAAGCAAAAGTGCTGCTTTTAACTTTTTACATGTAAATTATACCCATTTTTTTCAAACTCATCTACCCTTGTCTGTTACTGTGTTATTAGTGTTCTCTAGCATATAACTTTCCATATTATTTTTGCTTTATTTTAACCCAGGACGCCATCTGCAATTCTCCTTTCAGACAACATTTAATTAATTCATCTTAAGAATAGTTATAATTCCAGTCTGTTAACTTATACTGTAATGTTTGCTGAATATCTTTAAAACATCTCCCCATTAAGCCGCAAATTGTCAGGATGCTTCCTCATACGCATGTTATTTTTTTAAAAAAGAATTTTTACTAATCTCTACTAGAAATATCCTTACTTTTACTGCAGGAACCAGCTCTCACTAACAATTAGTATACCCCTGGAAGCTTCCATTATACTGAGCATGGAACTTGCTGGTATATCCATCTTTTTTATTAGACTACGGTGATCAGGACAGGAAGCAAATGTTCCCACAAGTCTCAGAGGCATGAATGCACTGCCAGCACATTGGACTTGTCATATACAGCAAACTGAAATAATTAAGCATGTCATTTATAGTCAGTTGTTCCAGTACAAGTGTGTGTAGACACTAGGTCCCTTTTTTAATTTTTGCTAGATTAATCGAGACAAAAACATCCTGCTTAATTGCATCAAAATAAAAATGGGTACTACTCTGTTATTTCAGGTTCAATTTAGGGAGCCTCAGAACCCACTTTGCTATAAATATTATATTTAAAGTTACCTTGTAATATGCTCTAAAAAAAGTACCAAATCTATTCTTGTAATTATTAAGGACCTAAGGCCATTGCTACTATAAATTCATGATCACCTTAAATGAGTTCTCCAGATGGTAACAGAAGATTTGATTTTCAGAGAAAGCCACAGCATCAGGTGAATCAGCGAGACTCCAAGTTGTTTTATTCTATTACCTGAGGCTAGTACAACCAGAAAAGAACCCATTATATATGGTTCTGAATGTTCCTCTGAATGTTTTAAGGCACATATCAGATTTTAGGAGCAGAATTAAATGCACAAGTTAACATAAAGCAGTTGAGGCCAACCTTTTTTGGCAG